TTTCATTGTCTCCCATTGATGTAAATTTGAGACATTTTTTAAAAGATAATGTTTAAAAGTACATATCTATCTGTGCATATTGTCTTTCTATTTAATCATTTGRTAACTTTGAGAAGATTCATAAAGAGAACTAAAGGAGTGTGATGGTTGTAAATGCTAACACCTTACACACTTGAGCCCCTACTCCATAGGAGAGGGAGGCAACTCATTCCAGTTTCTTTGGTCTCTCAACCAATACACCTCCTTTGGGTTTAGCCCAAAGCTTTGTGATGAGGATATTTATAAATTTTTGCATTCATAATGGAATTTTTGTTGTTGTTGCAAATGACATAAATCCAGTTCAGACTGATGTAAGCTACAGTGGAATTTATTATCCTGAGAAATCTAGTGGAGAAACTGGCCTAGTCCAGGAGAGGCAGGTCTATCTTCATCTCCTCTTTGCTCCATATGTGTCTACTTGACTTTATTTTTAAGAGAGGTGCTTTCCACATGGCAGAAAATTTTCCCAGACCTACTGACTCCCAGCCAGCAATCTTTGTGAAGGGAAATGGTGTTTCCCTCTAGTCCTGAAGGAAAAGTCCCARGGAGGACTCGCACTGACTTTGTTCACATGCCCATTTCTAAGCCAATCCCCATAGGCAGGGAAATAGGACACTTAAATTATCCAAGCCTGGATCACAGTCCCACTTTGATGATAGGAATTGTTATGGGGGTTCTGCCCTACTAGAACCAATTGCCCTGGGTTTCCCGTGAAGAGGGTTCCGTGTGATGGACAGACAAAAACAACAGGCATCCATTGAAATGACTTGAGGAGAAAGGGCTGATATGAGGTGATGCTTCAGCCTTGAGGCTTTTGAGGGAGGGACTAGCACTTTACAATAAAGTCACCATGATTCACTGGGCAGGTATAGACTCAGCATGTTCAGGGCAGTGGCAGTTCTAGAATTTCTACACTTTTTCTTGGAAGAAAGAGAGCTTCCTGGAAGGAAGGTGCACAGGGCTCCCTTCAACAAATCACCCTTGGAATGTCACTGGCTGAGCAGAAGTTATTGTAAATCCAACCTCTAGACAATGAGACTGCTCATACCAAGCAATATTACAGAGCTCAGAGGATCTTCCTGCCTCTTTCCACCTGCTGCCTGGGTGTCTTGATCTCCCAAGGAATACAGAAGGACTGCTCAGCCAACAGGCCTTGACTCCATGTACTTTTCGGGGGATGTATTTGTTGTTCTCTCTGTGTTTATGTCATCCTGTATGCATGTCTGTGTGTCAAATGCATGTATATACGCAGTGATCATCCTAGTTGAAAGAATGCAGCAGAACTCTCCACCTACTTGGGGATGATTGAAATTCCATCACTTATAAAGTCATTTCTCTTACTTAAGCATTATCTCCTTTTTAAAAAATATATTTTTTAGTTGTAGATGGACACAATACCTTTTAAAATTTTATTTATCAATTGTTTTTGTGGTGCTGAGCATTGAACCCAGTGCCTCACACATGACAGGCAAGCCCTCTACCACTGAGCTACAACCCCAACCCCATTATCTCCTTTTAAAAATGCAAATTCCCCAGGAAAGGAATGTTACTTTACTTATTTACAGTTAGTAAGAATAAACTTTCCAGGCTTTTTTGTGAGAAAAATTTTGATGAGAAATGCTGGGCTTCTTACTAATCTAATAACTAGACAATGGGATCCTGGAAGGTGATTTTATCTCATTTATATTTGAGGCACCCACCTGGCAAGAACTTTCCATATGGAAGTTTCTCACCACAGGTTTTAATGTGAATAAACCTCAAATTACCTCCAGATTTTCAGTAAAGCTGTTAGGCACAATATTTGGAGGGGAGGGAGAATCAATGTGAAGGAATCATGTCCAACATTTGGGCTTAACAGGGTTCAAATAAAGGAATTGTTGAAGACAGGGAATGGAAACCCTGAATTCAGAAGATTCAAGATATTGGAGTAGGAGGCAACTGGGGAAAAAAWTTTTAAAGGTCTGAATTATTAGAAACTCTGATGAAGGAATCAACTTTTCCATTGGATAAGTGATAGAGAAGTTGAAACTGGCCTGAGTTGACCATTAGAGGCATGTGACATGGCTGGCATCTGAGTCATGTCCAGCTGGTGTAGGACTCACTCATTTCCCTCTATTGCCTTTTGAATCAGGACAAACCTAGTAAATGCCTTTCTGCTTTTCCAAAAGACAGTGTGATACAGTGGTTAACGGCTCAATGCATGCTACCAGGCTGCCAAGGTATCAGTTGGGACGTTGCCATTTATAGGTCCATGACCTTGGGCATCATGCTTAGCTTTTCTATGTCTCACTTTACTTACCTGTGAAATGAAAATGATGGTAGTTCTCATTGATTTGAAGAATTAAATTAGAGTTAAAATGTTGTTGAAGGTTTGGGATAGAGTTTGGCAGACAGAAAGCACTGTATGTTCCTTGGTGCTGATGGTACATCCTCTTGTACTCTTCCAGGAGTGTCTTATTTATTCATAATTGTTTGTTGAGCCCTACTGTGTGTCAGGCACTACTATAGGTCCTGGTTATATGGCAGTGAACAAGACAGATCACGTCCTGGCTCTTTTGGAGCATGTGTCTTCAAGAGCCAGAAAACTTTAGCATCCTATGAGAATTTTTCATTAATTGTCTTTCCTTCAGTAACACAGATTCCAAATGACAACTATGAATGTCCACAGTATTCTGAGGTGTCCTGTAAATCACCAAAGATAGTTTAACGGTCACAATATCTGATGATACGCAGATTTTTGTTGCATTCTGATATATTTTTAAAAATGGATAATCCATGTAAAACAACCATAGTGTTCATAATATTTCATTAAACTGAATGGCCTGTCCCTAGACCATTATTCAAAAATAACTTATCTGTTCAGTGTTGTTGGTTTTCATTTGTTTTACGTTTTCCTTGAATGTCTTCTGGTCTCTTACCAATTATGCTCTAACCCTCTGAATTATAAGCTTAACTGGGGAGGAAGCCTCCTAAACCAGTGCACATTCTGTTGATGACACTGCCTGACCACCTGTGGACCCCAAGAAGGGAGGGCCAGGCCAGGATAAAGGGAGAGGAGGGCTTGTCTGCTGTACATGGTCTAACTTCTCCCAGAGTTTGACTTGGGCTCTTCTCTGATATTTGAGGGAAAACTCTCAGAGGAAGGAGGTCCTGCTCTCATCTCCTCAGACTACATCAGCTTCTGTGAAACGACCCATCAGGATGGAGCTGGAGCACCCCAAGCTTCCTTCCAGCACCATGTCCCAGCTTCTAGGTTTCTTGGCTGTATCCTTGGGAGAGTTGGAGCATTTTTCCTGGGCTAGGAAACCTAGAAGCTGGAGTCACAGTGCTTTCCTGTAGGTACACACACAAACACACAAGCCACACAAACACACGCATGCTGCATGCTGACAGGAGCAAACCTGCCTGCCTTGCTCCATCAGTACCCGCACAGGAGAGATGAAAACACTGCAGTTCCTGCTAAAAGGAGACTCTGGGGATGAAAGAGACAGAACATGGAAAAGAAGGCAGGTTATATCACAGAGGGAGAACGGGAAAGAAGAAGGAAGAATTCTAGTATGGAAAGGGACACTAGTGGTAGGGAAAGAAATTTTATTTTCAAGCTTTAAGAGAATATTACAAACAACAGAGAGTTTTAAAAAACCCTAAAAACTAGTTTAAAAAAGTACTTGACAGTGTCCTTTTAATACCCAAGGATGATGTGGTCATTGTGCAACGACAACAAGAAACTCTGCAAGTGATTACCCAGTGGCCTTCCCTGGCAGGGTCCCAGGAACCAGCAGGTGGGCTCCAAAGATGGTGTTCCCTGTCAGGACCCTTGGCCTGCCTGGCTGCACAGGAAGGACCTGGGAGCACACAGCACTGAGTACTAACCAAACCACCTCTTTGGAGAGGGTCCCCAAGCAGTAGGGAATACTTAACCAGGTTTCCATTTCTCACCTTGGGGTATATCAGCCATCTTCTGCTCGTACCACAGCAGCTGTGCTGGGAGACCCAGGTGGGAGGGGACATATGGGATGGCCTTCTGTGCCTGTGCTCAGGTTATAGAGGCATGGCATTGAGCCTGACGTGGTCATGGGTGGGCTGGGTAGTTGGGAAAGTTTCTCCTGGATTGATAGCATTGAAGGCTGAACCACAGCAGCAGGACTGTGCTTGTGTTACCCACCAGTAATCAAACTTTCCTTGTGGTGTGTGTGCATGTGTGTGTGTGTGTCCTGTAAACATCTTTGAATCAAATCACCATGAAATAGAGTAACAAGGGCACAGACAGACACCCATCTTTAAACCTAAGCCCTCTTTGACCCCACCTGAAATTGGAAGTTCCAGCTGGGAAAGTTCACATGGGAGGAGACATACCCTTGGTGACTCACACCAACATATCCCTCCCTGCGCCATCCATCCCAGGGTCCCTAAAGCCATTTGAATCATCAAAAAAATTCTGCCACAAGATGAGCCCAGAGACCCCAAAGCCGGTGTGTCCTCCCTACCAGCCCACATGTCCCTCCCCCTCCCCCGACTGCCTAGGAGCACAGACCAGGAAGAAACAGAAACAAGGTCAAGGATGAAACGGAGCAGGCTTCAAATGCTCTTCCTCTTGGTCACCTTTGCCTTTTCTCTCTGTGGCCTGTGTACTGCAGGCACCATCACCAGTCAGACAGTGTTGCCCTCCCTCAGCCTCTCCTCCTGCACCTCTGGATACATCTGGGAGGTCSTTGTGTTAGGCTCTGTCTGTCTGTATTGCCCATGGTTGCTGAGCTTGTACTGGTTTCCGTTGCTGTTAGCAAATGCTAGTGACTGGAAATCACAAAACTGCTCCTAGTGCCAGCCTCCCTCCAGCTCCCCCTTTTCCAGGGCTCCTGGAGGCCCACCACCTTCTGCTCTGGCCTTCCCACACCTGCTCCCTGGCCCCTCCCACCCGACCTGTCTCCTGCATTCTCTCCCTTCCTCCCAGGGCTCTCCAGTCACACTGTCGTGACTCTCATGACGAGCTCTCGGCTGCCGCCCTGGGGATTCCGCTGTTCATGAGGTCTCAAGTGACTCAGGATGTGCAGGATGGTGTAAGCACAGTGGTGATTGGACAGAGGGCCTGAGGGGTGGCTGGTAACCCGGGCAGGGCCTTCTTCAGGGGCAGGGCTGCTGGCTGCCTCCTCTTCGGAGGAGGGGACRTTGGCCTGGACAGATGAGGAGGTCCGGAGGTTTGTCCTGCCTCCTGATTTTTGATCCTCTAGGTCTTTTGCCTTGTCATAGTTCAGCACTTTCCACTGTTGATTGACAGCCTGCCACCTTTTAAAGATGCGATACACAGAGGGTCCCTCGTGGATGATGAGACCTGWGGCAGCAGGGAGAAGAGAAAAACGAAAGCTAAGCAAGAGATGGGGAGCCATTGCCAGGAGAAATCCATGGTCTCCCCCAGTTTACAAACAGATACAGGTCCTAAAGTAAGATGGGACTTATTGGTTTGGTTTATATTCTTCAAATCTACCTTCCAGCTCTGAGCCACATGATTCCCTTCCCATCAGAAGTCTAAGTCAGTCTCACTGGGTCAATCCTAGTTTTCTAGGCTGGATAAGTCTTCCTTCCGTAGGGAGAAGGTGGAGGGTCCACCACACCAAGTCATGAAATAGACAGTGTCTTTGCCTACCTCTCTGACTCCATTTGCCTCCTTCTTGGCTTGATGCAAACCAGATTCTTCCATTGAGGCACAATATAAATATCTTTTCCTCCCTGTATTATGTATCCATGGCACCCAGTATTTAGCAGATGTTGAATGAATTGTGTGCTTTTAAAAGCAGCATATAAGAAACCCTGTGGTCATTCCACACCTGCTGAATGATGTCTGAAATTCTGCTGGTTAGTTCCTTGCACAAATAGCCTGATGCTGCTGAAATACAAAACCCCTAGAAGAGATAATGTGATAGTTGTACTGGCCAGAGGCAGAGGTAGAGTGGAAATGGGCCACACCAGGCAACAAGGCAAATCAATAGTGTGCGCCTACTGTGTGCAAGCACTGGATATACTGCAGTGACGGAGACAGTGTCTTGTCCTTAGAGAGCTTACATTAAGGTGGAGAGACACACAATAGGGCAGAAACCAGACTATTTCAGATGCTGACAAATGCTACAAGGAAAATAAAGTAGGGTTAGCTAGCCACTGGCTACTGAGTCAAGGGTCCTATTATAACAAGTTGGAAAAGAGGTGGTGATATTTAAGTTAAAATTTAAATGACAAGGAGGGACCTCTGCAAAGATCTAGAGARTACTCTAGGGGTAGGAAATACAAGTGCCAAAGATAGGAGGTGGGGATGAAATGAACAATGGTCAGAATGAAGGTCTGCATGCCCAGGAGTGTTAATGTGCAGGGAGATAAAGTGGATAGAGGCCAACCCATGGTTGGGTCTTTAAGGCCCTGACAAGGAATTTGTATTTAATCCTGACTATAATGGGAAGCCACTGAGAGGCTTACTACGGGGAATGATGGAATCTGATTCACCCTTCAGAAAATTCATTCTGGTGCAGGCATGGACAAGAGTAGGAGGGGATAATTAAAGGAAGTGATGTAGTAACTCAGGTTGGAAATGAGAGCAGCCAAGATTAAGGTTATAGCTGCAGAGACAGCGAGACATTGTTGGAGGCAGGATGTATGCTGGAGGAAGATCTGACAGACCTGCTGACAGGAGAGGTGTGAGCAAAGAGAAATATCTGGACCACTCTGAAGCTTCTGGTCTCAGCCAGTGGATGAGTAAAAGTGCCATTTGCCATGATGTGGAGGGCACCAGGGTCAGCGGGTGGACTTGTGGCACTGACTATATTAGTTATGGCTGCAGTAACAAATGACTRCACATTTACTGACCTAAAGCCACAGGCATGCATTCGCTTACAATTCTGAAAATTAGAAGGCTAAGTCAGTCTCACTGGGCCAAAGWGAAGAAGTCACCAGGCCTGGGTCTTCCTGAAGGCTTTGAGGGAGAATCTGTTTCCTTTTTTAGCTTCTAGAAGTTGCTGGCATCTTCATCTCTTTCTTGCATCATTCCAACCCCTTTCTTCTATTGTCATATGTCATTACGCTTCTGTCATCAGATCATTCTCTGCTTCCCTCTCATAAGAATATTATGTGGGGCCCAACTGAATAATCTAGGATAATCTCAATTCAAGAACTTTAAATTAATATCTTTTTCCATCTAAGGAAACTAAACAGCTAAGAGATTAGGACCTGAATGTCTCTGAGGGTCACCATTCAGCCTACAACAGTGATTAGTGATATTTTTGTCATGAAAATCTAAGATGTCCCATGAGAAATCTAACTGAAAGGTCAGGTGGGCAATTGGACCTGTGAAACTGACGTTTAGGGATAAGTCTGGCCTGAGACCTGTGGCAGCAGGGAGAAGAGAAAAACGAAAGGTCTTGGGTGTAGAGGTGGTGCTGTTATTTGAATGTGTCATCTTTAAAATTCAGGTGTTGCCAGTGAGATAGTCTAAAGAAGTGAGGCCTTTAAGAAGTAATTAGGCCATGAGGTCTCCTTCCTTGTGAAGGAGATTAGTCTCTAAAGGACCTTGACAGAGAAAGTTGGTTCTTTCTTGCCCTTTCATCTTTTGCCATGGGAGAACATAGCAAGAAATCCCTCAATAGATGTCATACAGTGATATTCAACCTCCTAGACCCCAGAATTATTATAAATTTCTATTATTTATAATTTACAGTCTTGGATATTTTCTTATAACAACCCAAAACAGAATAGGACAGGTAGACTTTGAAGCCTTGGAAATGCTGAGATATTATAGGATAGAAGAGGGCCCATGCAGATCCCTGGGCTTCTGATGTTGGTAGAAGGTGTTTGGTGGAGGCATTGGCAGAGGTATAGCCAGCAGAGAGGCTCTGAAGAAGCCATCAAGAGGGTAGGAGCAAGTCCAGCCTGCGCGGGGGAGACCCATAAGTTACACGAGGATGTGTCAAGAAAGAGAGCATGGGCTCTCTCCTCCAGCCGACCAAGATGCCAAAGGGAAAGAAGGCCAAGGGGAAGAAGGTGGCCCCGGCCCCCGCCGTGGTCAAGAAGCAGGAGGTTAAGAAGGTAGTGAACCCGCTCTTCGAGAAGAGGCTGAAGAACTTTGGCATCGGACAGGACATCCAGCCCAAAAGGGACCTTACCCACTTTGTAAAATGGCCCCGCTACATCCGGCTGCAGCGGCAAAGGGCTATTCTCTATAAGCGGCTGAAAGTGCCTCCTGCGATTAACCAGTTCACCCAGGCCTTGGACCGCCAAACAGCCACCCAGCTGCTTAAGCTTGCCCACAAGTACAGACCCAAGACCAATCAGGAAAAGAAGCAGAGGCTATTGGCCCGGGCTGAGAAGAAGGCTGCTGGCAAAGGGAATGTTCCCACAAAGAGACCACCTGTCCTTCGAGCAGGAGTCAATACTGTCACCACCTTGGYGGAGAACAAGAAGGCTCAGCTGGTAGTGATCGCACATGATGTGGATCCCATCGAGCTGGTTGTCTTCCTGCCTGCCCTGTGTCGCAAGATGGGAGCCCCTTACTGCATCATCAAGGGGAAGGCTAGGCTGGGACGTCTGGTTCACAGGAAGACATGCACCACTGTTGCCTTCACACAGGTTAACTTGGAAGACAAAGGAGCTCTGGCTAAGTTGGTGGAAGCTATCAGAACCAACTACAATGACAGATACGATGAGATCCGTCGCCACTGGGGAGGCAACGTCCTGGGTCCAAAATCTGTGGCTCGCATTGCCAAGCTGGAAAAGGCAAAGGCCAAAGAACTCACCACTAAACTGGGATAAACGTACACTGTTTCATTTCTGTACATAAAAATAATAAATTGTCTTTCATCCAGTGTCTTGGCAATAAACTTGTTTCAGGCAGTAGCAAGGGCATGCCCCGTAGTGTGAGAGCTTTAGAAACTCATTGTGTAACTTGCATAAAAAGGCTGTATATACCAGTAAAATGCTCAGAAACCAAGCCAGGGTTTTGTGATTGACCAGTCACTGTCTTATTTAAGGTAGCAATGAATGTGAGTCCATAAAGCATTTATTTATACTGATAATACATGATCCAGTAAAATCAAGTCTCTTGAAATGCCAAAAGAGAGAGAGAGAGAGAGAGAGAGAGAGAGAGAGAGAGCGAGCGAGCATGGGAACTCTTCAATATTGTTGAGAGGGCAACTCAGGTAAAGTGAGGTATGGCCATTGGCTTGGTGGGCATAGGTGGAAGTAGAATGATAGAAGTGGTTCTCATCCAAGTGCATCTTTGTCTCCCAAGAGATCATCAGCTAAGGTGGAAGGGATCAAGGAGGATATGTTGAGTTTTTGTGGAGAGAGAAATATCTTGGAAAGAGTGCATTTTTTAGGTAGGTGGGATAAAATAATCTGGCTGCATTGAGCCCCTATTTGAGATTTGTGGCCATAAATCTCAAGTGTGTTTAGTCATAGGTTGTGTAATTTTTCTCCACATCTTCAATTGCTTGCTCAGGTATATGTGAGGAGTAAGAAGGTTATAAGTTTAACTAACATAAATTGCTTTTCTGGGTAAGCAGATATGACAGTTATTCATGTTTGCAAGTAAGTGGTATCATGGTGGACCTTGGAGTCTAGGCTGGGAAGGGAAGAATTGAGAATACAAAAGATGATCATGGAAAATAGAGAGTGATAGAATCAAGGGYAGGAGGTGTTCATGAGGCTAGAGAATTGCTAGAGTCAGTGAACTATAAGATTGGATGATGGCCAGACTTAAATCCGGATTTTGGAAGTAATGTGGTTATTAATGTTGATGGGTCTAGGGAATAACCACTTGATTATGGGTCTAGGGGGTGACCACTTGATTAGGGGCTGAAGTGGGCTAGAAGAAAAGACCCTTGGAGTAACAGAGAGGCATAAGCCATCCTCAATGCTACCAGATGAAGTATTCTCTTTTTATAACAAGTATATTTTAATATACTCTTTCCTATCCTGAAATCAAATTCATAAAACTATTATAAACTACTATGATTTCTTTAAAGAAAAATAATGGGATGCCCTAAAACATAAAGCAATAAGGGAAGATATTTGTACCAAAACAATGTAAATTTCAACATAAATCCTGGGGCACAACTGCATTAGAAAATAAACAAAGCCCATGCATTTCCAGAATGCCTCTGAAGGGGATGGTGCCACTGCTGAATATAGATGCTATGGGCAAGAGTCATGGAGGGGCAAGTGAGCCATCTATATCAGGAAATGTAGGCAACAGAAAGGAGGCAAAGAAAGATGACATGCATTTCAAAGGGCTGGGGCTTTGGAAGGAAAAGAGGAGAGGCAGTGTGATAGAAGTAGTGGGGAGCAAGAAGC